ATGAATTGTTTGTCCAATTCTACTCAGAAACACTATTCAATGGTACTATTATTTTCCTTCCCCCCCCCCCCTTTCTTTCGTAGAAAACTGTAGATTGATACTCGTATTAATTTTTAATGACATTTTCATTTTATGTAAAAATCTTGAAATTTTCTTTAAATTTATAGAAATTCTCTGAAAATTTTGTATCTCTGAAACTCTCGTACCTAAATTTTCATACTCCCATTAATTTATCGATGGTATAGTATTTTTTTTTTACAAATTCTAACCGTGGAGAAGAAAATATATATATATATATACATATTTTATACTGATTGAATGGTGAAAATTCTAAATCGAAGCCATTTTTCTTTGTGAGTTTCGTTGGATTAAAATGTTGTAGGTGTTTCTTTCTGGCAGATGCGGAGAACATCGAGAGGTGGATGGGTGTGAGCGAGTTTGCTTCATTTGAGGTTGAAGTTGCCTCGATTGCGGGTCCTCTTGCTGGTGCAGCGGTATCCATTTCGGTTACTTGGTCGATTGTTCGAATGCAGGGAGTATGGGTGTCTTGGGGTAGGTGGGTGTGGTCTTCGAGTCACATACCAAAGAATTCAGTTATTTCTTAGATGGCTATTTTAGATAGGATGCCGACAAGGATCCATCTTCGGTTATTTTAGTAGGAATACTTGCACAATTTTCCGATGTATACGAGTTGAGTTGAGTTATTTTTTTATACACGAATATCAATATTAATGATTTGTTTTTCTAGATATAAAATATGTATTTATTCAAAATAAATTGATAAAGTGACCGAGGATAATAAAATAATTTTATTAGTATCTAGGTCTGTATAGAAAACGTTAGAGAACAACAATTCTAATAGTAACATGACATGAGAAAGACGATAACATAAAATTAAAAATAAATTCCACCTCGCTTTGTTATTTTCTATGTAGCTGTCAAATAACCTATCAAATCTTGAATTGAATTAACTTGTTCTTTTCTTTTGTATCGGGTCATATTTTAAAAATTAAACTCGATTAAATTTAAATTTTAAAATAATTTCAAACTAAAACTTCTAAAATTGAATTAACTTGTGTATGAAAAAAAATTCTAGTTGGGAGACTCATCCACCAATGTTAAGTGTGTGATCCGGATCGATCTAGATTAATCAGGACAAAGCCTTGGAACTGGAGGACAAAAAAAATGAAACTCGTTGAGTGACTTCAGTAATTAAAAGAAATATTGTTTTCCCTTAATATCTTGAATTCGAACAATTGTGTCTACATGGTTTGTGTGCGGTGTCGATAGTTAAAAAATTATAAATAAATATTAATTTATAATCATCCAAACTATTAAAAAATAATTCTAAAATTGACTCAACTTGATTATAAAAGAATTTCACTTTTATAACCCTAGACCTCAGTATAGTAACTCATTTGGTGCATGCCCTCCCATTATTTGGGACCAGCTAAGGGAATATCATAATATCTAGCTAATTAAGCTATTTATATATATTTTTAATTAATTTGATTAAAACATCCCACATTTTAGAGTAAATTATACGTTTAATATTAATGCTATCAATTTTGTTTCGTTTTAATACATAAACTTTCATATTTTTCAAAACAATATATAACGTTTACTTTTTGTTTCATTTTAGTACCCCATCATTAAAATCTTGACGACACTGCATTTTTTATACAACTCAATATTCTATCGATGCATTTCATTGCGGAGGGGATGTGAATGTTGCAATAAGGATGAGTCTATAATTGACATCCATTGAAATGCATCATTAATAACATGTATTGAAATGCACAACTAATATAAAATAGGATAAAATCCACAAATAGTCACAAAAATTTTTAAATTGATTTTATTCATCATTGAATTTTTAAAAGCTATAAAATAGACACTAAACTTTGAACTTTGTTAAAAAAATAAATAGCAATCATTAAATGTTATTAAGGGGTGAATAACATACTAAATTCATGAAAATATCTTATTTAGCCCCTCAATTATAACTAAAATTTCACTTTGATATTTTTCAATATTTTTATGTAGTAATTATAAAAAATTAGAAATTTTAGAATTTTTTATAAAATATATGAAAATAAATTATTTTTAAAATTAAAAAATATTTTTTAAAAATTTAGTTATCAAATAATGAAATTAATTTTTTATTAAGAAAAAAAATATTTTGTTACTAATTATTTATATAATTTTTGTTGTATTTTTAAAATAAAAATTTATAATTTTTCACGTCCAAAAATTTATATTATCACATAATAAAATAATTTTTTTTATTAATGATGTGATTTAAGCATTTAACTTTTATTTAATAAATTTAACTGTAATTTTAAAATCATACATTCATAATTTTAAACTTATATGGTATAAATTTAATATTTAAAATATAAAATTAAAAGTTGATATTTATTTTATCTATATCTATTTTATTTTCAATTCAACAAACCTGATAAGAATTATTTCAGTTTAAATTAAGAGTAAAATTAAATTTTAGTTATAATTGAAGCGTCAAATGAGATATTTCTTAATGGTTTTGTGTCCATTTTGTAACAAAATTAAAAATTAAAATTTAATATTCATTATGTAGCTTTTAAACGTTAAATGTTCAAAAGGACAATTTTGACCTAGTTTAATGACAATTTATAAATTTTACCCTATAAAATTAGTGGTGAATTGCAATGAATGACATGTATTCTAGAATTTTGCATTGCAATAATGAATGATCAAGTGCGTTCGAATTCATATTCTGTTATATATTATAATAATAATAATAATTATATCAATTGAATTATAACTCGATCAATGAGAAATGATAAAAAAATATCCTAAAATATAAATAATTACAAAGACAAGGTGTAATACAAAAAGGGAATTTCTAGCAAAGCCAACAAATTCAAGTATAGCCCATGCCATGTCAAAATCAAGAAGACAAAGCAATATTTGATGAGAGAGATTTGTGTTTGAATTGTGTAAATCTAGAACCGGCGTTAAATTGATGTTCCCATGTTGTCTCTCGTAGTTAGAAGCCAAGAAGAGACAAAACCCTATGTTAAATTGACACGGCCTGCCAGAAGGTAGACCAAGAATGAACATGGTGCAAAATCAACACATACACTTGACGCACAAGATAGATGCATACGTGGGGTTTGTTGGATCACTATCATTTGCAATTTGCCAATGCTTATGTTGACAATACCAACCCTTGAGTCCCATCTTCTCATGGCTATCGATAGAGTCGTCTCGAATATTTTCGAGATCATGAACAAAAATTTAAAAATAAACTCTTATAAAATAAAAACATGTTCTATAACTTTAAATAATTAATTTAATATTTATTAATAAATAATAGAAATATAATTAAACTTTATCAAACATATTATTTTATTAAAAAATATCTTAAATAAAACTAAAGAGAACACTTGCTAACTTACAATATTGTCCAATACATTATTTTTATTATTTTATAAAGGTAGAATACGAGACCCTCATATTGCTCCCCTCCTAAGCTAACTCTGGTTATTGGGATCGTAGAGGTCGTGCCCATAAAGAAACAATATGATTATTCCGATCAAAAGTGAAATTCAAATATAAAATTAAATGAAAAATTAATTTTAAATACCAAATTGAAAACTAAGTTGATTTAGTTATAACTACTATCTTAGAGGGATAGCTCTATCATTGAATAAAGGTGTAAATAAATCGAATTTGAACGAATAAATTTATGTTAATGTTTGTTTATTTGTTTTTAAAGATGTTCGTATTCGATTCGTATTTATTTAAATTTTAAGTATTTTGTTCATATTAGTTTATTTATTTTTTACAGTGTTCATGTTCGTTCATTTAACATTCGCAAACACGTATGTTTAGTGTTCGTTTAATGTCAACCAACACTCTCTTTTTACCCCCTTTATATGCAAGTCAAAGAAATATGGTGAAGTTACACCGTTAGTCCTTAGTCTTCTTTAGGCTTCACAATTTGATCTCAAAAGTTCATCTTATGTTCAATTTAGTCCTTATCTTCACTAATATTTAAAATATAAAAAATGAAAAACGAGAATCAAGTAAACGAGATTATAAACGAGACAATAAACGGGCTTGTTTGTGAACATGAATGAATCAAGCACGCTTCTGTTCGTGTTTCGTTCGTTTATTAAATGGACATAAAAATTTGTGTTCATACTCATTTATTTAACTTAATAAACGAACATTAACGACTGTTACCAAGGGCAGAACTAGGATGAAATTATGAGGCAGGCCAAGTAGCTTATCTTTGAAACTAACAAGGTTCTAAAAAGTAATTAAACCACAAAAATAAAGGGTCGGGGTTTAATTTCACTAATTTCAAAATGATCATGTCTTAAAAAGTAATTAAACAAAAAAAATTAAGGGCAAGACTTAATTTCATTTAAACCAGAAATTTTGGGGAATGATCAATACTTAATTTTAACGGTTTCAAAATTTTCAGGGGTTTAAATTACAATAAAATAATAAAAGTTAGGGTGGTGGGGGCAGGCCATGTCCCCCTCCACCCCCACGTGATTCTGCCGCTAAATATTAGCGTTAACCGTTCATGAATAATTCGTCAAACACTTTGTTGATTTACATCCCATCCTTAACCATATTTGCTCAGAAACAAATTGAATAATTATTTCAACAGTTAGAAAAAGGACAGATTTCCATCCTAATTATGAATCCAACTAGAAAAGGGGTCCAAGCCTTTACGATTTCTCATTTCCTTTTCGATGTGTGACCTTGTCTGAACCTGAAACACACACACAGCAAGTGTGCACGTTGGCAATAGAAACACCATTAGAGGCGTGTTTCAACATTGGCCAACCAAAACTTTTCAACCCCCATTAAACTCACCTTGTTGCTGTCTGTACTTTCTATGTCTCCTTGAAAAACATGCTTTTGCTTCTTCTTCTTCCTCTCTATTTAAAATGGACATTCCTCCATTCCTTCCATTTTCCTTTGCAGTTGGTGTTTCTAAAAACAATGTGAGAGCTCCATTGTTGTGAACTGCAGGAGGGACCTTAGTTAAGGCTACCAAGAGTGAGTGCTTCTCCAAGTTGCTTGATAAAAACTCGATTCGAGTTCGATCTGTGATTAAATTCCAAGGTAAGAATTATAAAATTTAGATTCGAGCTCGATCCTAAGACCTCATTCCATATAGATCTTTATAAAACAACTATATAAGGCACTCTTTCTTCTATATAAAAGAAATGTAGAAAGTTGAGTTCGAGTTTGATAGTTAGAGCTATAAAATTTCGGTTCCAGCTTGATCAAGCTCGAACTCAACTTTTACTATACTTCTCATATTTGACATGTTTAGGTGGATTAATGGTAATATTTTAAAGTGAAAAATTAATTTTAAACCGGCTTAGGTTTGACATATTTGACATGTTTTTCTTCATGCTTTTAGTTGTTTAAAGGGCTGAGTTTGAACAGAGCTAATTAGTCTTTATTTGTTTTATACAGAAACAATCAAATGAATAAAAAGGTGAGCTTTAAAAAGTCCTTTGAAGCTAAATTGAAGAATTCACAAGTACCTGCAAAGAAGAAAGCAATCAGCCTATACACAGCAATGTCAGTGGCTCATGTAAATGATGACGACCAAGAGTCCAAATCCGGCGACGTTCATCATGTCGAAGAAGCCCTTCCCGGGGGCAACTTTTGTGCAGGCCAATGGTGCAAGAGTTTGGCCCATGGCAAAGGCAACTATCTATGGCCTGATGGTGAAGAAAACTCAAGGAATGGGGTTGAAAGAGTGGGAGATATTCGACACGAATGTTCGGCGACAAAGGCACGATTTCCACTTCTTGAGATGTCAATGAAGAGGCAAGGGCAGGCGATATCCAGAGGGCACAAGAACTATGAACTCATGCTCAGCTTGCAGCTTGGCATCAGGTAGTGATTTCTTGTACTTCTGCTCTAGTTCTTATTAGCCTGAATGTTATTTGTTTCGGTATAAAACTTGTAATGAAAATTTCTTGGTCTCGAATTCATTTTGGATTCAACATATGATGATTAATGTTCTAATCATGCATGAATTAGCAGACATTCTGTTGGAAGACCTGGTCCTGCTATAAACCTTGAATTGAAATCTTCAGCATTTGATCCCAAGGAAAAAGTATGGACCAAGTTTCCTCCGGAAGGATCGAAGCACACTCCGTCTCATCAATCTTGCGAATTTAGATGGAAGGATTATTGTCCATTTGTATTCAGGTTCGTGACCGAATCATCGACTTTTTTCACAGCAGATGGTCATTGTTTGAAGAACCACTGTATGTAAACATTTGCAGGACCCTCAGAAAATTATTCGATGTCGATGAAGCAGATTACATGCTTTCGCTTTGTGGGAGTGACGCCCTTCGGGAACTTTCGTCCCCGGGAAAAAGCGGAAGCGTTTTTTACTTGACCAGTGATGACAAATACATGATAAAGACAATAAAGAAGACTGAAGCAAAAGTAAGTGTCGAATGTTTTCTCAATCGGAACCATCTCGGAAACCTGCAATTTCTCCTAGAATTGAGTTCATAGGTCACTCTTGTGGACACTTTTGCACTTGCAGGTCCTTATAAGAATGCTTCCAGCCTATTATAAGCATGTTCAGTCCTTTAAGGACACTCTAGTTACAAAATTATTTGGTCTTCATTGCGTGAAATTAACTGGGGCAGTACAGAGAAAGGTAATGCAAATATCACACGGTTTCAACTCATAAAATTTTCCGAAAATGATCTCATACTTTCTTCACTTGTGATCTTGATGATTCAGGTTCGATTTGTTATAATCGGGAACCTGTTTTGCTCCGACTATGCCATTCATCGGCGCTTTGACTTGAAAGGTTCTTTCCAAGGTCGTACAACTGCTAATCCTGAATCTGAATTAGATCCGACATCAACCCTCAAGGACCTTGATCTCAATTATATATTCCGACTACAGAAACTGTGGTTCCAAGAGTTCTGCAGGTGATTCTCTGGTCTAAATACCTCTTTATTTTTAAGGTTCATGGTCTGATTCTTTTCCAGCGACTTTTGTGCAGGCAAGTCGATCGAGATTGCGACTTTCTTGAACGTGAGAGAATTATGGACTATAGCTTACTCGTCGGTTTGCACTTCAGTGAAGTTCCCACACCTACTGGTTATTTCTAGTCATCTATGGAAAGTCATGCTTCATTTGAACTCAACGATTGCTTAATAGATTAACAAATGTTCCAGACTTAACTTGCAGGAAATGGAGATTGCGGAAACAGAGAAGCTCCTCGTATATCTCAAGCTAGCAATGATCACCTTGTTATCGACACCACACGGTAAAATCGATTGCCATTGAAGTGATACATTTTGATCACCTTGTTATCCATAGCCACGCGAATCTATTGATCTAAATCATTGCATGGCATCTATATGAAGTGATACATTTTGATACGAAAAAATGCAGGCAGTCTTCTGATAGATTGGGCATAAAGATAGCCGCTCGAGCCGAGAAAACGGAGAGGAAAACTGACTATCAACTGGTTGGAGAACCAACTGGTGTGACATATGATGTCATTCTCTTCTTTGGTATAATAGATATTCTACAAGACTATGATATTAGCAAGAAGCTTGAGCATGTGTATAAATCAATGCAATACGATCCGACCTCGATCTCCGCCGTTGATCCAAAGCTATATTCAAAACGCTTCCGAGATTTCATTTTCAAAGTTTTTGTAAAGGACACTTGAAAATGTCACGATCTTTACAAGATTTTCGACTCGGAACCAGTGTCCATTTTACGAACATTCGATCGTATTCCAGAGTTGTGATCAGTTAAAAGCAAAAAGTATTCGACTTCATTGACATGGACAAGGAGGACGAATCACGGAAGCACTGCACACGCCCTTGTAACCGAGGATTAGTTTCTACTGGTGCAGATATGATATGTTATTTTGAGGGCTTAGGGTAAAACACTGTAAACATAGATTCATCTGTAAATGAAATTTTCAAACGGTGAAACATACAATATCTGAACCAACCTTCCAATGCCTCAAGACCCCTTACACTAGCATTACATTCGGACCAACTCTTCAAAATCGAGCAAAATATAGTTCCAAAAGTATGTTCCGTATAAACTGACAACTGAAATCGTTCTACGAACTCGTTATCGAGGACGGAAAGCAACTGACCTGGATTCAGAACATCAAAAACAAATTGCAGTGCTTATGACTGACCAAAATTATGCTGAAGAAGTACCACTGTCCTCCATTGCAAGGTACGTAGTGCGGCAGCATCGAACAAGTCCAGGTTTTAAATCTCAATATATGCAACCTTCCTCTTAGTGATAAAAGAAAGCATGAACTCTGTGAAGAGTATATAATAAATGTGCATTCAACCAAACTTGGATTGATTGAATCTTGTTCATCACCTGGCACATGCATACAGAGAAACTTGTGAAGATAAACACGTGCAAATGATAGATCTGCATCTTTATTGAGGAAATTGCAACCATAAACCGGATGAAGTTTCATGAATCGGTCGGATCGGAAGTGTTTGTGAGGATGAATATCAGTAAAATGATGAACACAACAATGTGGTATTGTGGAAATGTATCAGACACTACAGTGGATATAGATCTTAGCAGATGCAATCTTCTGCTTCTTTACCAAAGATGGATAGTGACAATAGAACAACAACCACTGCTATATCATGATGCTTCTCACCGACGCGGACGCCCCGTCTTTGATTTCGATGAAAGGCATAGGCAATTGGGGATAAAAACTGTACAATCCTATGACTCGAGGGGAATGAACTATGAAGTAGCCTTCACACAATCAATTGTTAGGCCTATTTCGCACCTAAAGAAACATCATTTACATGTTGAATGCTACAGATTTTACCTTAAACCGACTGTCGGTCACCGGATGCTGCAAAGGTGTTCGATGGATCGACGATTGGTGAAGAAGAATCCCTCTCCCCATCCCTTCCGTTGCTGCTGCTTTCGAAAACGACTTTCGAAATACAGGGAAACGCATTTTTGACCTCGACTCCATGATCATATAGGAACCCCTTGAACACATGGCCTCTTATATTCACAGTAGCTTGGTAAGCAACCTCCACCTCGCCGTCACTAATGGCCGTCACCTGAATACACCTGAAAACCGCCGGCGCTCGTACTTGACCCGGTAGCGATTCTTTAAGTCTTGAATCTAAAGACCCGGTTTTAAATTAACATCAGAGAACAATTTAAAGAGAGAATCAAAGTGTTTACCATAAAAACAACAGATTTTTGTGCATTATAACTCATCCAATTGTTCTCGGATGAGTATATGTTCAAAATTTTTATTAATCATCAACGACACATTACAAATGTAACTACTCAACTCGATTGTTCTCCTTTTCTCCACCAAATCTCAGCTTATTTTAATTTTTGATTGAATGAAAATATTATGAAACAAAGATGAACATAAGAGAGAAAACAAACCCTGGTGAGAAGTGGCAGCTTCAAAATTCAAAGACTTGGAAGCTGCATTTGGAGTGAAGTTCAAAACCCTTTGTCTTTTACCGCCACAAGAGGAAGACCCCGAAGACCCACCGCCTTCCTCCTCCCCGATCAGCGCCACCTTCCTGTCTTTTTTCCGAGCAGCAGGCACCCACGTGCTCTTCACGTGAGTAGCGCAATCGTATCCTCTACTCTTGCAACAAGTCCTACACCTGCTGTATCGACACTCCTTCTTCGCCCTATTCCCACAGTCTCTACACACCTTAAAACCACCGCCGCCGCCGCCGCCGAAATCGTCTTCATCGTCATCTTCAACAATAGTCAGGACTCCATCTTTCGTTGCCGTGCTCCTCTTTGAAGTCCAAATATTTGTGTCAGTCAAGTTGTAGTTCTGGTAAAAGGCTTGTTGTGGTGATGGTGGCGGCGGATGCGGGGGAGGCTGTTGTTGTTGTTGGTGGTGGTGGTGATGATGATGATGATGCGGCGGCATTGGCGGCGGCGGTGGCCATGTTTTGGTTGGAGTTGCCACAATTGGAAAGGTTTTGAATGAAAATGTTACCAAAGATTGTGCTGAAAGGGTGAAAGTTGAAAGATAATAACTGATGAATCAAAGAGAAAGAAGAATTTGTTTGATATGTGAAAAGCTGAAGCTAATCTATCTGACAGTCGATGAAGAAACAGTTAGAGACCTTTCATCTTAACTAATATAATCGAACTGACAACTGCTGCTCTACCCAGTGGCGTCTGTTAGATTGTGTATTACAGTTTCTATATATTTGAGAAGTTCAAGTGCACCTTTAATATACAATTAAAAAATATTATCGATTTTGTTATTATTTAAATAATAAAATTGATAATTTTTTTTAAAATATTATTATTTTTATCTAAAACATCAATATTTTTTTAACATTTTTGATAAAATGTCCAACAATAATAAAATCGGTTGAAAAAATAACAAAATCAGTAGCGCTTTACCGGTTTTATTAACAAAATCAATAACACACCTAGTAATAAAAAACCAATAGAAATAATAATGTTTTCGGTAAATTTTTACCGGTTTTGTTATTTAAATAATAACAAAACAAGTAGCGCCTTTTTTAGCCATATATTAAGTCTGCTGCACGTGATCATTTCCTTATATATTTATACCATGTAAACTAAATGGAATATCAATCGCACGAATTAATTTGTCTAAATGGTTAAAAAAATTATTGTTATTTTTAATGGTTACGGGTTCGAGCACAAGCGATTGTACCAGGTGCTTAAGCGTTCATTGTCAGATGATTGAAAAAAATTGTCGTTATTCTTAATGGTTACGGGTTCGAGCACCAACGATTGCAACATGTGATTGAGCGTTCATTATCAGATGACTGAGAGTTTTTAGAACATACACTAATTTATAATAACCTTAGCTTAATAAAAAAATTAAATACCACTTAACTATGGAAATATTCTAATTTTACCATCACTCTTTTAATAGTGTATTATATTAAAACCCCACTATTAATTTTTTTTTCATTTGAAGAACAATCCCTTAATAGATTTGTTAGAAAAATAACTCTCAAAGTGTACACGTAAGATTAACTCGAGTCATACCCAGCGCGATAAAATGTCTCACATTTCACATGACGCGAGGTATCAAACACTTTTCAGATTACCCAACGCGAGGTCCACATGATATTAGGAGATTATCATTTGCAGAAGTTTTAAAATTGAATCTCGAAAAGATTCCCTAAATCTCGAGCTTCATATAAAGCGATATATCATTTACCTCATTTTGGGGCCAGTGTGAGGATCGCTAATAGCCTCCCACCTGAATTCCTCACACCATCACAAAAAAAAAAAATCTCTCTCTCAATTATTCTCTCCCTCATATTATTATGGCGAGACTATTGATTGTTGATCTTTTGCATGTATGCACCTATTAACGGGATAATCTGACAGTAATTTTCATTTATTGATTTGTTTTAATTTTATATATTTATTTATTTATTTTTGATTTATTTTTTTGAATTTATTTATTCATTTATTTATTCATTTATTTATTTCAAATTATTTATTTAATTATTTTGAATTTATTTATTTAGTTATTTTGAATTTATTTATTTATTTATTTGAAGGGATATGAACATTTGTTGATGTGTTTTATCAACCGTTTTCGCCCCTAATAACAATATTATTCCATACTTGTATGAAGCCGGTTTTGGTTACTTTGGCATTGTAATTGGTAGTACGGAGTTGCATCCTCCATTGATAAATGCGTTGCTAGAACGGTGGAGACCGGATACGCACACGTTTCATTTTCCTTATGAGGAGGGGACTATTACTTTTGAAGATGTCGCATACCATCTTGGGTTGCCTGTTGATGGAAATCCTATTACCGATATGGCTCATGGGGATTGGCCAAATTGTGTCAGGAGTTGCTCGGACTTACTCTGACAGAGGACGATTTGGATGGAGGGAAGATCTATATTAAATTTTTGGACGATAATTTTACGCAGCTACCCGCCGATGCTGCTCCAGAAATTAAAAAGGTGATTTTTTTAAATCTATGTATATTTATTTTAGTTTATTTATTTATAATATTTAAATTTTGTTTTAGTTTATGTTATTTTAATTTTTTGATGATAAATTTTTAATATTTGCACAATTTTTTTATTTTATAGTAATTTACTCGTGCTCATATTTTACAAGTTATTGGGGGATTTTGATGCCTAATAAATCATGAAACAAAATGCATTTGATGTGGTTGGATCATCACACGATTTTTGGGCTGCTAAAAATAAGAGTTAGGGATCGATAGTGTTAGCCTTTTTGTTCCGGGAGCTATGTAAAGCTGTAAATCCGAACAAACAAACAATTGAAGGCTGTTTAATTTTGTTACAATCGTCAACTTGGTTTCAAATGCAATTTTTAGCGCCGATTCTTACACAACCGACCCCATTAGAATTTTCACTACTTCAAAGGTAATTACAAATAACCTATGTTTATATATTTATTACTACATTTTTTAGTTTTACAAATAATTATATTTTATTATATGAATGATAGGTGGATTGTCACACTTAGTCACTCCCACCTATCAAAAAGTCTGAATAATTTTAGATTGTTGATTGTTAAGATGACATACGAGGTCATCGATTTTATAATTTTAACTTGTAATTTAAATATTAATTTTTTATTCGTGTTTTTTCTAACATAGTTTAAAAATATTTGTGTAGTTCGTGTGGACGCCATACAGTGACGGTGCTATTAGATTGTGTACTCCATATGCGATACGTCATAGTTTGTACGTTTGGATGTCGATGGTCCCGTTGATGGTCTATGAGATCATCGAGTGCCATCCTGCTGATCGCGTGTTGCAACAATTTGGCCATGTCCAAATGATTCCGCCACCACCAACAACTTTGGACAATGCCTTACATCATCTAACGCGACAGGGGAAGACATATGATAATTGGGAGGTGTATCATGTGGATTGGCTGATGCAGAGGATGTCGAGATTCGTTAGGCGACTTTTCTACCTAAATATCACCCTATTTTTCTAATATTCCTGATGTAACACATTTTTTTCAATATTTCCCAAACTATCACCCATTCGGCTGATGTGGAAGGAAGGTGTGTTCCCAGGAGCACGCTTTAATGGGATTTTTGCTGACAAGGCGGAAGATACGTTTCAGGGGACGCGCCTTCTATAGGTTTATGTTGACTGAGCTGCCTAGCGCAATTAATTCCTACCCTTACTTATTATCACTTAACCGTTAATCCTTACTTATGTAATTGCATTTTCTATTTCAATGTATGTCTTTGTTTCTAATATTTCAATTTAATTGCATTTTCTATAATTTCCCAATGTATGTGTATTTTCTACATAAATTTTCCACTTACCTCTTACTTCATGTGATTAACATTTTCATTTTAATCGAACCTTACCCTAAACCATTTTAACCTACATAACCCTTGACCACTCTCACCTTAAAAAAACTCTAAACCACTTTAACCTACAAAATCCTTTGCCACTTTCACCTTAACGAACCTTATACCACTTTAACCTAAAATCACTCCAACCTAAATAAAAAAATACCTTAGACCATTCTTAAATCATAACTGAAACCCTTTACCTAATAAATTGTAAAATTTTAATAACCCTAAAACATCATCTCCTTCAACTTTAAACCTTAAACTAGAACCTTAATTCAAAACCAGATGAAAAATGTGTTCCCCAAAAGAGCTTTCGAAAGACGCATCCCCTGAAACGCTCTTTCCACCGTGGCACCACACCAGCTGAAAGACACTTCCCCTGAAACGCGCCTTCCCTCCACATAAGCAAATCTCGCGAAGGTGCTCCCCTGAAAACACGCCTTCTCTCCACATCAGTCGAATGTGTGCTAGTTTGGGAAATATTGGAAAAAGGGTGTTAAAATGAGAATATTACATATTTAGGGTGATATTTAGGTAGAAAACCCTCGTTAGGTAGCCTATTTATAAACCTATCTTTGCTTGTGGTGTTTCAGATGATTGCATGTTGTGGTACGAGCAAAATGGGATGTCGCATATACTGATCGAGGAGGATCAATTGCGAGACCTCCCCAAATCGTCCGCCACGCAACATCCCCTGATGCAACATGGTGCAAGTCAGAGTAAACTAAAACACGCTCAAGCCTCATCATCGAGAATGACACATGCTCCTATAGAGCATCAGACACCACTGACGACACCTACATTCACCCACTCGTCTCAGTCAACATTTTAGCATATAGAGACTCCATCATCATTTCATCATATGGCGCCACCAACAAAAGGTTTTTTCGCCGAAGCATTTCGTTCCTATCCGGCAGTTGTTGTCCATTCTCATTGTCCTCATACAATAGATGAACTATATTATCCATCACCTCCGTCTGTATTTATTCGACCATTGGCAACAGACTTTAGATCCAACAGTGTCGAGCAGACGCCGTCGCAGAGCATGTTCTACATCGGTCTTGGTCCTAGTGGAAGTGGTTTTACTGGCCACATAGATAAGGTTGATGATGATGATGATGATGGTGATGGTGATGGTGGTGGTGGTGGTGGGGATGATGATGGTGATGATCAGAGTGATGATGATGCCCCCAATATATATTGATTCGTAGAAATCCTTGTTTGACACGTCGTCCACCACAGTGTGGTACATGTGGACATATACATCATTAGTTGTTTTAAGTTGTATTTTTTAGTTAGTTGAACTGCATAACATTTTTCATTTTTCGTTTCAAAATAAATTCCTTTCTTGTCAAATAAATAAAGAAAATTAAATATAGTATAGGAGAAGTAAGGTCGAAGATGAAATTCTTGTTATTGATTTTGATATTTGGTATGAATTGGAAAGAAATAAGTGAGTGGTTTTGTAGTTGAAGAATAAAAACAAGTAAAATTAAAAGAAATATTGTAAGAGAAGAATAAAGGAAAGTAGATTAAGGAGAGTAAAATTGAAAATTTAATTATTAAATCAGCCTTAGGCATTAGCTCTGACTCAACTTTTTCAGATCATTGAAATAGATTTACCCTTTGGAATTC